GGCACCTTCAGGCTTGGTGGGTGTGGCCCTGCCAGGTTGCTGGCCACACCTGAAGATCATCACACACCTGGAGCTGATCAAGCCTCGTTGGGCAGCTGCTTAACAGTGCGGCTGAGCGCTCCTTGACGTGGGATCGTTGTGTGAGACTCCACATCAGTTTCCTAGAGTTACAAGTTCAGTGTGTATATGCCCGCCGATAAAGTGTCCTGATGGCTGCCTCTATTATTTTTCCCCCCAGGAGGAGTGTGGAACGGTAGAGAGCAGCAAGCATGGAGACTGCAGAGACACAGGAGCGGAGAGCACTAACACGGACATTTTGGGAGAAGACACTGCACGGGAGTCGACGGAACGCACTGGAATGTATTGTTATGTAACATTCTCTTCACTGTAAATAAACGCACTGCTTTCATTGCATCTTACCAAGTGTGGTAAGAGGAAGAAGGGGGGAAGATGGGCATCCCATCCTGTTGTTTCTCTCGCATGTGAATATACTTTCCTTCATACACTTCATGTATAATCACATATATTCTATTAATTACACATGAATCTTCTGCATTTACTAATCACAACACACTTAATATAACTTCTTTCTTAATCCTACACGGTAAACTCAGAGATTCTCACATCTCTCAGACTTCCACAATCTCACGCAGAAACACAAGGATGAGCAGCGTAGTCAAAAACACTCGTGGAATCAGGGTGAAAAAGTCAGGGATGAAAATAATTTCATTACCCAAACTACACTTTCTATTTCATCATGTTGATTAAATTTAAACACGATTAACCGTTAGCAAAATAACATCTAAGTAATCTCAGTTTTATCACTCTGCATCACAATTCCCATAAAAAGGCTGGATGCTAAGTCCTTTTATTCCACTTTTAGACAGAGATGAACCGAGGGATCTCATTCTCTTTGGCACTTTGAATATGGAAGGAAAATCATTTGTTTTAGTTCTATAATCACATCACAAACTGCAGATATTTTTATGTGGCCCTACAGATGTATGTTTTCATATGCTGTCCCTTTTTGTGTTTTACAATCTAAATACATTAACATAAAATGAATAGCGCAGGGAGGAAAAGAAGGCATGTTTGTGTGAACCACAATTATTTTATGTAGCGATACAACATTTGAGCATGTTAAATACACCATTCTAAAAACACTGATTAAGCAACAACTTTCAGCCAAGATTTATAAATTCTTTTTCCTTTTAACTGTCAGTGAATCTACTACCTATACACCATAATTCAGCAAGTCAAACGTAACAGTTGCATTTATCTATTGTGGGATGGTTGTGGCTGGGCTGATGAGTGTGACAGAAAAAAGTGTCAATTTCTATTTTTATTAATACTTTTGAGGATTAAAGATGGTATTAATAATTATTTTTTTAAAAGTGTTCATCACCCAACATCGTTTCACTCCTCTGTTAATAAGTAACGCAAAAAAGTAATGCAAAACACTTGCTCTGAGGCAGGTTGTTACCTGCCTGCCAGCCACTCCCTTCTGCACAAACACTTCTTGCTTTTCTCAGTTCTCCGTTCTGCTTTTCCTGCTCCCGCGTTACTCATGTTGGATTAACCTTTCTATTATATGTATAGATGCAGTTGCACCTGTGCAGTCTGAGCCACACATTTCCAGTTTGTTTTTAACTGTATCTGTTTGTGGACTTTGCTCTTTGCTGGATTTCTTTCTTCTTGCTCGTTTCCTGTTTGTGTCTCACTGCTTCCCTCACATCTCCCTCAGCAGCCTTTTCCTGCATTACTTCTAACAAAAGGTGAGCAGTTTGAACTTTTAATCTGAATTTAACATCAGTGTCTCTGATTATATGTGGATTAAAGGAGAAGTTGATCACAAATGTCTAACCTGTAAAGCCGTACTGTCTGGTTAAATATTGCATTTTATCTTACAGTTTCATTTCTTGGTCATGGATGATTTCGTAAGAACCAAACTGGTTGAATGGGGGCTAAGTGAGTGGGTGGAGAAATTTAAAGGTAAAGTATTAACGTGAATCTGTGATTGGTACAGATATTGACAATGATGTGATCTGTAAACTGTAAAACAGCTCATAGATTTGGGCTGATTGCTTTTTCAGTCATTAACAAGAATTTCTGAAGCAAGTTGAGAATAAACTTTATCTCTGCAAATTTATTTTTAATGACAGATGAACAAATCGATGCTGAAAGTCTGTATGAGCTTGATGATCGAGAAATTGATAATTTGATCACA